ATAAACCAACACATGGACAGAGAAAACTGTATTGTGGTTACCAGGGGCAATGGGGGAGGGGAATGGGCACAAGGGGTGAAGGGAGACATGTATATGGTGATGGACAAACAAAAATGTACAACCCAAAATTTCACAATGTTAAAAACTATTAAAACATCAATTAAAAAAAAATTAAAATCTCCTGTAGATCAGAAACTTATATAAAATTAAAAGGCATACCAAAAACTGGGAAAAATACTTTTTACAAATATGATGAGATTAATATCTTTATTTTATTTTATTGTTTTAAACAGGAGAATAGCTTAGAGCTTTATTTAATGTAAGTCCTATGTGACACGGGAGCCTCCAAAGGAAACGAAGACCTGAAGAAACAGTTAGACCTGGGTACTTTTCTGCTAGGTCTGATGAAGAGTGGACAGTCAACTCAGGAACAACCAGATGGAAGAGATGCATAAGGCAAGGTATGTGGGAAGGGGCACAGAGCTTCCACGCCCTCTCCAGGCACACCACTCTCCCTGCATTTCCACGTGTTCACCAACCCAGAAGCTCCAATATCGTTATTTTTTAAAGAGCCAATCAAATTAAAAGACAAAACAAATTTTTGAAAACCTCAATAAGGCCTCAGTATAAAAATGGGAAAGGAAATGAAGAGATAGGAAATGAAAATGGTTAAGAAACAATAAGGACATGTGACTTCATTGGTAATCAAAGTAATCCAAATTAAAGAGGAACCTTCTGTTACCTACCAGATGGGTGAAGCTCCAGGGAAATGGGGACCCTCGTAACTACTGATGGGGGTGTAAACTGATACAACCATTCTAGAAAACAACTTGAGATGGGTACCAATGGCCTTAAACATGTTCAGAACCTTTGAATCAATAATTCTAATTTTATTTTATCTTATTTATTCTTTTCCCCAAAGACCCAGTAGATAGTTGTATGTCATAGTTGCACATCCTTCTAGTTGCTGTATGTGGGACGCAGCATCAGCATGGCCGGAGAAGCAGTGCATCAGTGCGCACCCGGAATCCAAACCCGGGTCGCCAGTAGCGGAGCGCGTGCACTTAACCGCTAAGCCACAGGGCCAGCCCAATAATTCTAATTTTATACAAAATATCTCCTCAGGAATTCAATGAAACTTTATTTATAATAGGAAAAAAAAACTGGAAACAATAAAAATGTCCAATAATACGGAAATGTTAAATAAAATCTAACATATTCATATAACAAAATAGTATGCAGACATTAAAATCATATTTTTGAAAAATACTTAATGACCTGAAAAACATTCAAGATACACTATAAGTGAAAAATGGGACTACAAAACTATTATATGCTAGGCCAACAATTTTGAAATGATAATATATATTATACATATAGATTTTATATACTGGAGGGAAACGCAACAAAATGATAACAACCATTTTCTCTAAAATTATTTAATTGTATTACTTTAACTTTTGTGTAAATTTTAAAGTTTCTGTAACAAGTATGTGGAAGGAGACATCATATTTTAAATAAAGAATATTACAATTACAGAAATCTTACCTGGCATCAACATGCTCAGGATGTCAACTGAAAGAGTTAATTATTGCAATAAGCAAGTAATTCACAGACAAATGCATTAGCACTTGACTTCCATCTTTCTTAGTTCAGAACTTCATGGGCAAACAGTGGGTAGAACAGATGCTTTACCAAGAGGACTCCTGGTAACTGTGGGCCGGCCAACAGGAGCACTATTGCTCAGTATAATGAAGAACCTTGTAGGCTCCATGACTAAACCACAGACAACTCAACTGTAACAGTGTTTCCATGACACTTGCCTACCCAGAAAGTTCAACCAAGACCACCCACTTATGGCCCACAAACCACTAGGTGAAAGCAACTGCTGAAATAATCTAGGAATCGATAACTCTGGCATGAAGAGCCCCAAATCCCATGCCCAGGCTCCCCATTGTCCCTCCCCATCCCTTGCTGTTTTCTCTGGCAGAATGTTTTATAGTATGTTCATTCCAACCCGACTAATAAAGAAGCTCTTTAAAGCTGAGAAAAACACTGCGCATTGGGTTCCTGGGTCCAGCATGTGTGCAATACATAAAGAAGCAAAGAACACATATACAGTACCTTCCTGAAGCTGTGTTGGCTTGGCAGAATTTTCCCCACTCATTAAAACAACAAAACATGCAGCTGCTCGCACTGTAGCCTGCCATGTTGACATGGCAACGGGTGGCTCCTGGCATGGAAAAAGGGCCCTGTTGTTTATGGGAGATCCCATAGTATAAACACATGGCCTGCAGAAAAAAAGACAAAGAAACAAAGGGGGAGAATCTTTAAAATGAGCTGTCACTTTTCTCACCACCATGGCAGTGAAGGTTAAGTTGAGCTTTCAAAGAGAAAACATTTGAGGCTTTGTAGTCGACTAGTTTCAAAGCATTTTGAACTGAAACTGCCAAGGGCTGGCTATGTGAACAGCCCAGAGTGGTAATTTCTCCCAAGTGAATTACTTAAATATGTAAAGAGAATTGTTTTCTTTAAGGGGAAACATATTTTTTGGATAAAGTTTTAAATACTAGTCTGCCAAGTTAAAATTTATATTACCCTTGCTCCTCCCCCTTAGGCCCTTACGTCTTCAAAAGGAAAAGTTTTAGAGACATTCTTACAAACCTTTTGGAAAATATTCTGGAAAAAAAAATGTTTGGAGATCAGTGAGATATTAATGCTTAGAAAAACAAGCTGGTGGTCTCAAATCCAGTGCTGGCGGGCAGATACCCCCAATCTTGGAAACCACCATCTCAAATGGAACCCTTGTGGGAATCCTTGTGTGGAGGCCAAGAACAGGGGTTGGCATACAAACAAGACTGCAGGTCACAACAACCAGGCTTGTGACGGGAAGGCCAAGTGCACAGTCGTTACCTAAGTGAGTATAGGAAACCAATGGCATGATGTTAGGGCTCATTCTGTTACAATTAAAAATTGCAAACCCACCCACACCAAGAACGATCCCTTCCATGATTAAGTCACAGTTGACAGAGATGGAAAAGACCTATGAAATCAAAGGAATCCATTCTTCTGACACCACAGAGTAAAAGGCACGAAACTGACCCTTAGGAAAATGTTTCCACTTTTTGCTTTTCAGGAGTTATGACAAATATGATGCCATTTTAATCAGTTTAATTTATGGAGTAAATGAATAGAGCAGAGCACTACCTCTCTCGGATAACCTAGCTTTCCTTTTTCGTTAACATCATTATGACTTAACATTCATTGTGTTCCTACAGTGTGCAAGGACACAGAGAATGACGGTCCTACTTCATCAGCCAGGGTCCAGTAAGGAAAAGAGGAAGCAGTCTAGGTCTCAACAAACAGAGGTAATTTAATACAGGGATTTGGTTATACAAGTGATAGAGGAGCTGAGAAGCCCAACAGGGGACAGTGAGGCAACCCAGATATTAGCCACAGTGGTAAGTAGCTGCAACTCCTTGGGTTGGAGGAGCTGGTGTTATTGGGTGTTACAGAATTACAGTGGCAGGGGGCATCTGGCAGAAAAGCCAGAGTCGCAGTGGGGACTGTCCAATGGATGCTGGGGGCAGAGGAGACTCAGTCCTTGCTGGAGAGGCCAAAAGAAGCAGAGAGGGGAGAAGAAACACCTTGTTTCTCACCAACTCCTGCTCTCAAACTTTGCACCCATCAGCCAAACCTAGCAGGAAGCAGAAGACAAGGGAGCCTGGGAAATGAGGTTCCCTGTCATTCAGAGAAGATCATAGTACGTGCAGAAAATGGCAAACAGGTAGTTGCAATCTACCTATCCTAGAAGTGTACATGCCGTGATAACTCACAGGTTCAACATGGGGCGGGGAAAGAAGGTCAAAATTCAGAAGACTTTCGTCCTGGCTGGCTTACCAACTTATTAAATGACTGTGGTCCTTGACCTCTCTGAGTCACATGTAAAACAGGATAGGGGACAGGTAGGTGATTTCTATTGCCTGTTCTAGTCCATAAACCTATGATTATGCATCCCAAGTTTATAGATCCAAGAACAAAAGCAAATTTTCATGGAAGGCCCAGAATCTCTCATCAATTTCAATAAGTTCTGAGCTCCCATCCTGGTCCCTTGGGTCTTTGGTCAATTGACTTAACCTTAGTTAACTGTCCAGCCTCAGGCTAAGAACCTAACGAGGAAAAGCTGCCTCCTCCCAGGTAGGGCTGGTGGTGGTGGGTGCTCGGTAGGAGGGATGCTGTAGCAGCTCAAATAGCTCAGGTAGATGGGGTCAAGGCATGCCTAGTTCTGAAAATTCTACCTATTAAGTATTTTGTTTTTTCCCAAAAAGTCCATCTTAGAGAAGGGTCCCAGTAAGGAACAGTGAGTATCATCAATGGAAACAGAGTATATTCCCACTGGCCAAATGGCAGGTATAACTCCTGCTTCCTTTGACAATGGCAGACATTAAGAATCTAGGCTTTCTCTCTCACTGAAGCAGAATAGACCCCACAATTTTTCTCAGTTCAAGATCTCTAGAAAGCCACTTTCAATCTAAGTAGACTTGTGGAGTTAAGCCTATTTGTGATGCTTATAGGTAAGTGGCAGGCCCTTACCCAGAGATCTCCTAAGACTTTCTCTATCTCATGCAAAGGGGAACATGACCCCATATTATGGTCTTCAATCCTAGGGTTCTTAGGCCAAGTCTGAAAGTGTGCTCTCTTACTGTTGTGCTCAGCATCTCATTTCCCTAGGGTGATTGATGTTACAGTCTTCCCTTCCCTGAATGGGGAATACATCCTCTCCAAATGATGGGCTTGCCAAGATCGTTGCTCTCCTCCTCCCTATAAGGTTGGGTTGGAGGCCATGCTAGCATATTATAACGCATTCCACCTGTGCCCTTAGGTATGTGGTCCCCAAGGCTTCCTCCATCAGCAGCCTCCACACTTCTTCCCTGAAGAAACAATCAGATTTAAGATGAGGTCATATCTAAGAAACTCTGCAGAGGAAGAATCAGACTTAGTGATTTGCTGAAGGGAAGGAAGGCCTCTCTAAGGTAGCCAGCTTCCAAGCTGGCCCCCAATGACCCCTGCCCCTGGTCTTCACACCCTTGTGCAGTCCCCTCCGAAATTGTACCAGGGTTCGTCTGTGTGACCAATAGGATATGGCAGAAGTTTTGTGACTTCTGAGATTAGATTATTTAAAAATCTGTGGCTTTCATTTTAGGGGTTCTTTTCCCTCTTTCTCTCTCTCTTTCATCACTTGCTCTGGGGGGAATCCAGCTGCCATGTCATGAGGACACTCAGGTAGCCAATGGAGGGACCCACGTGATAAAAAGGAGACCTCTGGCCCACAGTCAGTGAGGAACTGAGGCCTTTCAACATCCATGCAAGTGAGTTTGGAAGATGATCTTCCAGCTCCAGTCAAGCCTTGAGATGCGGATGGCCCCAGCAGACAGCTGACTACAACCCTGTAGGACATCCTGAACCAGAACCACCCAATTAAGCTGCTCCTGGATTCCTGACCCTCAGAAACTGTGAGATAATAAACGTTTTTCTTTCAAGCTCTTCAGTTTTGGAGTAATTTGTTTTACAGCAATAGATAAGAGAATTTTCTCAGGTTTCTGGCTCAAGTGTTAAGATCAATCGTGAAGCTCTTAAACAAGAAAGGAAACTCAGGAAGACAGGCAAGGTCATAGGAAGGGACAAGGGAGAAGGCGAGTTCCTACCTGTTTAATTTGTGGATAAAGGGCTTTACACACCATATGGCAGAGGACACTTGTGTGGACACAGAGATCATGATTTCCTAACCCCAAAGAGCACAGTGTCCAACAATGAGACTGAGTGTCTAAAATCAGACCGATCTCAGAAAATTTAAGAATGATTATTTTACGAAGTAGTAAGTATTGATGTTGCAAGCAGATTTGAGTCTGGGTGCCACACACAAATTTCGGGGTGAGGGGGAATCTTTCCATTGACTGGATTTTTAAAAAGCATGTTATCACCATCTTTTCCTCCCCGATTCTCTACTATTTCCCCTCTCAATGGTCTAGTTCTAGATATTTTGTTCTAGACTTCTGTCCTGATCCCTCTGTCATCCTCTTGAAAGCTCTTTCTGCCATATTGTGCCTGGGTACCTGAACTCTCCCACCAAGGGGATTAGTTACCTGGCCAGGCCCCCAGAAAGCTCTCACCTCCAACCTCTCCACTGTCCTCACAATTCTCTTTTCCTACCCTCCTCTTTACATGGCTGGGGCATCCTTTCTGCTAAAGTCTATGTGGCTTTCCACTTGGTCTCCAGAGCTATAACTCTGAAAGTATAGATCAAGTCATCTATCTAAAAGCCACACCCATAAATATACCCATGTCTGATATAAGATTCAATTGCTTTCTTACTGGAATGTTTTCATAAATAGCAAAACAATCACAGAAGAGGGAGGTCCTAGGCAAAATTTTTTGAAAATTGCAGATTCTCTTTGTGCTCCCAGCCTACTCCTTTCTTGGCCTTTTCCTCTTTCTCAATTGCAGCTTCACTCCTCCCAACACCCCCCAGCCAAGTGCCAATGACTTTTATAATCAATACTCTTTTGAGCTTTTACAACCTGATATCCTTATGCACATCATGGTGCAAACATCTAAAACAATTAAGAGTCAAGTGACTATATTTTAACAGGAGGTGAAAGCTTTTAATCTCTGGATAAAGCTCTAGCAGTAGAATTTTGGGCATCTGACAGCAAGTAAGAGTGAGAGAATGCGGGATCTTCACGGAGTCATGAAAATCGCACTCCCTCTACATGGTGACTCAAGAGTAAGATGGCTCCCATCATGCACACATTCAAATGAGAAATATATGGACGGCTGATTTCCTGCCCCCTTGCCCCAAGAGGGGAGAAAAATCTATGTGCATTTATAAATACGCCCTGCAGTTGTTTGGACGTGTAATCACTGAAATAAATGCAGCTGTGTTTACTCAACATGCACAGCCTTGCACCTCAGCCATGTTGCTAAAATGCTCATGGGATAGATGTGCAAGCACCAGCCTGAAATTCTCTGATGCTTATAACTTCATTATTTCCAGACTGAATAATTCCTTCCAGCACACAAAGGAAAACTCTCACGCCAGGGCTAATTTCACATGCCCTGGGATACATCCACATGGGAGACTCCTTGGGGAGCCCAGTTAACCACACAGGAGTTGTGGGAGTGGGAGGAGGAAACTGAAAATCAGAAAGAAAACAGGGTAACACAGAGGGTGAGAGGCAGGCCCAAGGCAGGTAGTTCTTTGCTGCCATTAAAGAACTTCTAAATTGAGGAA